CCCCCCGCCTCCTCCCGGTGCCCCCGGGCGGCCCGTGAACCCACGGCTGACGGAGCTCCGCGGCCCCGCGCCTCCGCCCCCTCCCCCGCTGTGGCGGGGGGGGGCGCGGGGGGGGCCGGCCTCCCTAGGCTCGGCTTCCCTCGGCCGCCGCCCCCCGCGCTGTCCTGGGGGCTGAAGGCCGGAGGAGCCGGGGGCCGGTTTTCACGTTCCCCCTCCCCGCCCCGAGGAGCTACAGGTGCCGCGCGGGGGTCGTGGAAGGACACGGCGGTGTTCTGAACACGAATGTTAGGTGTTCGCTTCGTCCGGAGGCGTACTTCAAGGAGTAGTGGGGTGAGGAGGGTTTGGGGGTGTAGATGTCCTTGCTGCTTTTAGTTCGAAGATGCAGAGGTGGGGGGTTTAAACACTGCTCACTTCAACCTGACTCTCTACAGTTCTGATGCAATGCCAGGTAGCACTGTGGATGCACAATTATAAAGTGTGTGTTATCCTTTTTATTATATAAATGTAGTATGTAATTATTTTGACGACTCGATCATCATGCTATACGTGCAGCAGCAATTTTAGAAACTTGTCTATCAAGAGTTTTCAAACTCATCGCTTAGGTTCTCATATGAATGCGATTACACGACTGCCCATGCAGGCTCCTGGAAAATATCAGTTCCTCTTCAGGGACGGGGGAAAAAAAATGAAGCTGATTTGGGGTTATAGACATAGAGGCATTGTTGCATTGGCGTAGCTGTAACCATGGCTTCCGAAAGGAAAGGAAATACCCTCCTTCAGAGGAAAAAAGGAACGACAAGCTATGTCCTTCACGATATTTTTTTAAAAAGTAGAAGAGTTTTGAGCCGAGTGCTCGCAGAGTATCTTGAAGCTTCCTCTTGACGAAGTCCCCTGTCTGTGCTGCAGACTGTGCGCTCCGGCTGCTCTTTGGTTAGTGCCCGCTGCGTAGTGACTCAAACCTTCGCTGAAATCAGTGGGTGAAGTTCTCTTGCGCTGGCAAGGTTAGCTTGGTTCGTGCTTATATGTACGTGAGCCCAAGTGAAGTGTAACCTCTAATGGTTTCATAATCATCGTAGCGTGATTCAGGCCACAGAGGAGCTGCCACAGTCTACAAGCTTATCTCTTTTGTTCCTCAAGTGGCGCATGCCAAAGATAATTTACCCTGGTTTGTTAGCCTGCATGGTTGTACATACGCTTAAACTGGCCTTGGTATTTATTTTCAGTTAAATACTGGGAAATAACTTTCTAAAAGAAGAGTTCTATCTCTTTGGAGGGTAGGTATGGGTCTGCTGAGGAGACTCTTTAATGGTCCATAGCATAGCTAAAAGGAAGTTTACCTTTAGGCAAGCAGCAAGTAATTATCTTTGTTTATGCTCTCAACTCTTGCTTGTTGTCCAAAAATGGTGGTATATCTCAGACTTGGGGAAAATATTTATACTATCAGACTAAACAATGAGGTCCTTGCGGTTTGTGATCTGTGTGATTGGACTCGTCAGTATATTTCACCGATTGTAAAGGGCTAGTATGCCCTGGGTATTTCTAGATCTTGTTTCTAATGCTGTGAAACTCTATCTCTTGGTTAAAGGTTTTGAAATAATGGGTCAGGTTCCCCAGCTGATGAGTACAGATCTGTTTGGCAGAATGGGACTGTTTGCAAGGGGGAGAACTGGGTAATTGAGTATGGTTGTGTGATCTTTTATTAAAAAGTGGGACGAGGGAAGGCACAAGAACATGTAACCAGAAAGCAATCTTGGAAAGGTCGGCTCAGGAGCCTGTGATGCTGGAGGGCCGGGAAGGGATTGGGATTTGGACAAGGGAGGAGGAGCTCAAGTATGTGCTTATTAGCTCTTTGATGCAGAGATGCTTCTTGTTCTTGTAAAATAACAACACAAGATGAATAGAGCTCTTTTCCCATTTTTCAGCTCCCTAGTACTGAGTGGCCCTGAAAGGGAATGCTTGGGATTGTTACGGATTCAGCATAACAGGTACCTGCCAGGTGTACTCTAATGCATTAAAAAGTTCCCTGTAAATCAGTGCAGAATACAAGTGCAATTTAGTGGGCTTTTTTAGGGCAGTGACTTTATTTGTAGTATCTGCTCCCAGTCTGTTGCCTCTGCAGCATGGGATGACCTATGCAAACAGAGCAGTTAAAGGTCTTCTATAGCAGCAGGTTGCACACAAGGAAGTTGAGGTTGTACCACTTGTATATCTTTAATGTTACCTGCTGTTGTTGTATAAATGATTGCACACCAGCTCCTGCTCTTTATTTCTGTAAGAATTTTTATCCGTATATTTTAGGACAGGGCTTGTTTATGTTATTAAGCTGATTAAAGACTATAGCCATACAGGCATGTTAAGAATAGCATGGCTTATTTCTATAACACTGTGAAGTACAAGTCACAATGGGAGTATTTAGAATATAGAATAGAAACGATTACTGCCCAGGCTAATAATAGCTTTAAAATATCAAACTGCAGTTGATAGCTGTCCTTGCTTTGAGTGTGCTGTTCGGTAGCTAATGGAGAGATGCAGCTGCACATTTCCATGTTGTCTCTTTTTAAGAGAAAAGCACAGAGACAGTCACATGGAAAGCTCATGTTCAAAATTTACTGTCCTGGGGTAACGGAATTAGATGATAGGCTTTGTTCCAAGATCTGAAAGAAGACTTCTCCTTTTTAGTTCTGGCTTATAATGCCACAAAACTAATATAACTTGGTGAGTATCTGGCAAAAAAAGCTATTGCTATTTCCCATCGGTACTGATTCAGTCTTAGCACCTGTGAATTTAGTCTGAGCAAGGACTGAGATGGTTTTGAAATTAAGCCGTGCATCTCCTGAGCAGATGTTCGGGTGTTCCAGATTTAAAACCTGCCCAGGGAAGTGATGCAGCTCAGACTTAAGTACTGACATAAACATGGTAACTGTTAAAGTCTAAAATCAGGCCCCCTCTTTTCTTATCCTGTATGGCTACTTATTTATGTTTTAGCATTAATTTGCTGCTTCTATTGCACTCTCTCCCTTTTTATGTAAGGTGAACAAGTTGTAAGTAACACTTCTTCCATGAGATCTCAGCTAGCCAGGCTCCCTGTGGTGACGGAACAGTCAGCAGACGTACCCAAAGCTGAGGGAGACGGTCAGGTTCATGTCCTGCACAAGGCTCTGTAAAGGTCTGTCGGCTGATCTGAAAGTGTAGCTCTTGCTCAACAGTGACCAACACTGCCCTGCCCCACTGGAGTGTGATTTGAGTCAATACAGTGAGTTTCCTAAATTACACTTTTGTGTCAAGCCTTGATCAGGCTTTTTTGAAATTATGACAGATATGAATGGGTTTGCCAAACACTCCACTCGTGTATTTTCCTCTTGAATGTATGTTAATGGATCTGTAATAGGGAACACAAATGCAATGCTGACCGATCTGTGGTGTCCAGTTAAATTGGTTTTGGAACAGCCGCAATAGCCCAGACAGTCATGGTCGCTTCCACTGAAGTTCCCTGAGCAGCCCATGCCAATGGTAGGGCGAGCCAGAAAAGTCTGTCAGAAATGTTGCTGCTTTAAGGAATTTCATGTAAAACTCTGCGTGAAGCAAGAATGTGGCTGCATGATGAGAAAATTGCCAGCTTAGCAGAGGGGGCATGAAGTAGATTTCTGATTTCTCTTGCCATATGAAGGCTACCTACTCTTCTCTGTAAGCAGAACTTTCTGTTCCCAGCAACTGGAAAACTGCTTTGGCATAAACAAGACAGAACTTGTGTTTGTGCATAATTCTCCAAGGCACAGTTATGCAAATCAGTTGTAAAGTAGCAGTGACTTCAGAAAAATTAGAGTTCAGCTGAGTGTTTTAGCTGGATAGACGTCTCTAGTAAAGGTTAAGTTAACCCTTTATCACTTGCCAGTGAAGTGGAGTTTGATACCTCTGAGTAGCTGCTTTGTGCTGTAGCATTTTCTTATTGATACAAAGAGTGGTGAAAGATGGATGTGACTCAGAAAAGTGTATTTGATTGTTGTGCAAAGCACAAGACTATATCAGTGGGTACATCTGCGTCAGAGACAAGGATTTAGTCTGTGAAATGATTTCCATTGTTAACAAAATAATGTAATAAAAAGGCTTATTACTAGGCAATGTTAAGTGTATCAGCAAAGATGCAGGGGAAAAAAAGGCTTTTTGTATGTGCAGTTCAGATGATGGATCTTTGCTCTATGTGGGCAGTAAAATCATATTTAATAAATGATGGTGATATTGAAACAGTTTGAAAGAATAGTAATTAATTGTGTGTTTTTTGTGGCATTGATTTTTGTAAAGTGGTTTGGGCCTGTTCCATTAGCAATGTATAATGGCATTCCTAGGAAACGTAGCACTGAAATGTTAACTTTACCGTTAAGTTTGTGTAGGTGGCCCAGTTTGGACTGCATTCATCACAGCTCTTCAGTCTTGTTTCAGTGATGTTTGCAGCTGTGTAATCCAGGTGTGTAATTTACAGTAGTAAGGCTTTTAAATATCTGTGTTTTTCCCTCTCCTGTTAACTTTGGCTACTTCTTGGTGAATATTACACTGTCATGTCAGCCCGTACATTCTGCCTGCACCATCTGGGTGTGCATATGTTTGTGACCCCTTGGGAAAAGGCAAAAAACACATCTTCTACAACTGGTCTTGGAAGCTGAAGAGAAAATGTTCGCCTTGTGTATTGTCCCCTTTCCCCCCTGGGCAATTTGCAGTCCAAAAAACTGGAAGCTGAAGTTAAATGGAGATTATATGTCATAGCTTAGAATACTGATTTTAATGTACAAAGAAGTACCTAGTAGACTATCTTTCATTTTTTTCAGGTTTTCAGGATGAATCTGGAAAAACTCAGCAAACCAGAACTACTGACGCTATTTAGCATTCTTGAAGGAGAATTAGAAGCAAGAGATCTTGTCATAGAAGCCTTAAAGGTATGTTGTAAGTACCATGATAAGAGACAAAAATGACAGCACTACTACTGTAGGTTCTGCAAAGCCCTTGCATTCAAGGTGAAGTTCAGAGGCAAAGATTTATTACTGGTTCAGAATCGCATCTTAATATCAGCAGTATTAGATAGTGAATGCAGTATATCATTCTACGTCTTGGAATTCATTATTGAAAACTGGCTGCAAGAAGCATTTCAGTGTTGAAATACAGTGTTATGCATGTGCTTTCATTCTTTCTGATAAAGAACCAAGTGTTTCTGCTATCCTGAGGAATGTAAAAGGTCTATCAGACTTCCTTTGTTGGTTTTGTTCTCCTTTAGTAAGGAGAGCTTCTTAAAGCAGAAACTCTTCTCGCCAGGAGGGATCACAGATTAGTCTTTTAGTGAGAATAACGTCATTCTAAAAAAAAGCATCTGTGGCTTTGTATTGTACTAAGCCAATATAAGCTGGCACTGTTGCTGAGAGCAGCAGACCTGTGGGCTCAGCTGCTTATTCTTTCCCTTTGCTGGCACAAGCATTAGTGTAACCTTCCAGTGAGGTAGATACCAGCTAAAACTAACCCATCAAAAAAGTTAGTTTCAACCCATGTCAGTGCAGCTGACGTCATGGTTGTGTGAGCACTTGCGATGGGACAAGGCGGGGGGTGGTGCTGGAGCCGGTGGGACCTCTTCTTGCAGGGATAGCTCATGCTGCAGGAAAACCGGCCAAAGTTATGTTAGCGTATGTGGTGTTAGCTCTGTGCTTCTGCTTCCCTTGTTCAGGTAGTGTGGGCTGTGGTACTCTGTGGCCAGTTTGGTGTGTTAACGTTGAGCCTAGAAGATATTTTTAAAATGTGTAGTCCATGTGTAATACTGCTGCTTTTTGAAGGATGCCTAGTCGTCACTCAGACTCGGTAAGGTGGAAAAAAAACCAGTGGTATAAATGATGGAAGGGGTCAATTTTTGAAGAAATGAGTTGTCACAGGGTCGAACATTGAAGGCTTTTTCAAGCTGACCTGTCACTGTTCATAATGTTTAAACTTTCAGCTGTTTCAGAAGAGGAATGGCAGCTTGCAGGCCTGAGAGCTGCAGGGACTTGGTTTTCCAGCAAAAGCTTCTGTAGCTTGATTCCAAATATAAACGGTTTCGGGGGCCGGGGAGGGGGAGATCCTCCTCCAAAACAGTCAGGATGCTTTTGTGTTTATTGTTAATTGTTTTTGCATTTAGACAATAATTTTATTTTGGAGGAATATTGTTACCCTATCAAAACTATCGATCGGGTGGAAGGCTTGACTCCTCTCTTGGAACAGACTTCCAAATTTCTCCTCTGTCCTAGGATCAGTCTTCTGTGTGGTCAGAATGTGTTACCAAAACAAGCATCACTTTAATATTGCAGTGTGAAATGCATGTAATGGAGCCCAGAGAGACCAATGGGAAGGAATGCAGCAGCTCCATTCCAAAGGCTTTTTATCATGTACCTTCCGATAGCATAAAGCAATTATCTTTTCTGTTGAAATTTAACCTGCCGTTCCCTCTTGCATGAGATTAATATAGTTAGAATACCCTTTGACATAATTTGTCAAGTACTCATAACTGAGAAGAAATTAAATTAAATTGTAACCTATACTTGATAATTATGCAATATAAAATACCGAGCTAATCAAAGGTTAGTGCTATTTTCCCCTTCTTCTGTAAGGGATACACCGTAGTGTTTCATCTTAAGAATGCGAGGAAAGCTGAAGGTAGTAGGAAAGGGCAGTAAAAGCTTCGAATCAGGGCTGGCTCTGGCTGCCCGCAGCCCTGCCTCCTGAGCGCGACCTCATGGGAAAATGAAACCCCTCCAGAACTGGCCTGTGCCTGCAGCAAATGGTGAGATGCTGTAGGTCTCCAGCTGTGCTGTTACTCGGGTCCAAAAGCTGTGTTCAGTAATGCTGCAGCTCAAGTCTGGCTTCCTGCTGGCAGAAAGCTGCCTTGCCCTTTCGATGTGTGGAAGGAAAAAAGCCATGTAACTGCTTAATCTGGTGGCTGGGCAGAGTTTCAGAAGCAGAAAACTCCCAGCTCTGCTTTGTCCATTTATTTGGAATATACAGTTAGAGAAATTCTGGCCTTACTGTGCTTTTCTTTTTGTTTACTGATAGTAACTGTGGTCGCAGCTTTCAAGTGCTTCACCGGCTGAAGTAGTTTTATTGTGTGTGACTGTAAGTGAAGGAAAACCCACCTTGCTAATCCATTTACTCACGTTTTGATACATATAAAAATGCTGCCCTGAAGAAGAAGCGTTCTAAGACTGAATTAAAGATTGAAACTCTGAGAGCATTTAGTTTGACTGGCATGCATTGGACAAATTGGGCTGTAACTTAGAGGGAGAGGGGTCGGAACATCCAGGGCTGCTGGAAGTGGTGGTGGTTCCAGGCGCAGAGGAGTTGTCTGACTGTGGGCTCGCAGCTGGCTCGGCTCCTCAGTGTCATGACCAGTGTATTCTGCCTCCGCAGTCGGATTGCTTTGGAGGCGTGATAGTTTTACATTAAGTGCACATGTATGGTGGAAAGAGGTGGAGTGGAACCTGAGCTTTGTTAGAGGACTGCATGATCTTAGTGGTGTTTTTCTCCAGAGTTACATTAGACACGTAGATGTCGGTGGTTAAAAACCAGAGGTTTATCTGCCTATTTACTTCCCATATAGTAAGAAAAATGCATTTCCTCTCATGGGCTAATTTGACTTGTAATTCAGATTTAAATGCTTCTGAACTCTCTGGATGTTTGAGGCAGATCCTTTGGTACATTATAGGAAAGAACAAGCACTTGCAGAGAAAGAGTACCTTCATTTGTAGACTTGTAATTTGATTATAGTACAGTCTGCAATAATTGATATTCCTTCATGCTTAGAGAAGAACATTTAGCATCTGGCATTTAGCAGAGAGAATCCATGCGTGCAGATGACAAAGCCTAAAATAGTTTTCTTCTCCCTCATGATATCAGGCCACTTGTTGGCTGGCACTGGCCCTGTTTCTCACTGTGTCAAAATCGAGCTTCTGAGCCTGGCTTTCCAGACCCCGCTTGCCTAATTTGCTCCTTGACTTTCCTTCCTTCTCTTCACCTCCCCTCCCCAAATCTTTACCCCTTCTTCCTTGCTGTGTTCTCCCTGGGTATCTCTTTGCAGACGGGCTGGAGGCAGCATCCCTCCTCTGTGTGCCGGCATAAAAGCTTTAACTCCTGAAGTTTATTTGTCTGGTGCTCAGATTCATATTATAAAGAGCAGTTGTTAGGTCACCTCTAATTGATGCCTTTGGCCTAGTATGACTTGCCCTTGCTGACTTCTCTCCTTTGCTGTTTTTTTCTGTGGTTTACTTTTTTCTTTGTGTATTGTTTTTAATTGACTGGTGGGCATATGTGATAGGGACCATCATATCTCCCTGTGCGTTTGCAGTGTATCTGGTCTTGACTTTTGATGTCCATTTCAAATTGCAATGCTACTTCTATTCAAACAGGAGATACTAGGATAAAGGATTAAGTGAACAAATTTAGTGTATTCAAAACATTCTTTTCCAGTGCTTCAGTTTGCTTCCTCTATTTTAAAACCTCTTGGAAAAAAAGCTTTTTCTTTTTTTGCCTGAAAGTAGTTTCCTGTCCACTGTATAAATCTCAGTGTTCTCAGAACAGACCTTAAGTCTCACTTCTTGTGAGCTCCTTTTGTGCTCCTTTTCCTGTAGTTAAAATCGTACTTAAATCATCCAAAAAAACAGATGCTGTCAGAGTTGCATAATACTAAGGGCTGGATTCTTAGTCCTTATTGCTGTGTAGAAAGGATTGCATGTGTGAACCACAGGTTAGTCTTCTAAAATAGCACACCATGACTGGAAACAATTCAGTATTTAAATGGGCCTCTATTGCTATGTTAGAGCACTTTGTTCCCTGCCCCCTGTTCTTTAAACAAGAATTTTCCATACATTAAAAATGGAAGTTCTGTTTACTTTTAGAAAACAGGAAACAGCTTTCTGGTTTATTCTTTTATGTTAATAAGGCCTTAGGCAATTTACACTGGAATAGAAACTATCTATTTTGTGTTAATGACTGGGAGCTGGTATTCATTGCTTTGCTTCTGAATTTAGTGATTCACTTGATAAGGCAGTATTAATGCATTGCAAAATTAAGTGTTCATTTGTCAGTGGATTTAGAAATTCAGTTTACACTGCAGTTTCAAAAACTAAGTACCTCTTGTTTAAATAAAAAAAAAAGTAATATAAAACTGTACTGCAGATGCTAGTAAATCTTTCACAGATGGGGTAAAATGGGCTTTTGCATCACTTCTAAAGCAGCTTAGATCTAGCAGTGTTCCTGTGGGCGCTGTCCTGCTGGAACCCAGGCTTTTCTTGCAAGTTTGGGGAGTTTTTTGTTTATTTCTTGCTTGAAGCAGCACTGTTGGCCAGCATCTTTTGAAAGACTGATTCTCTTCACCTTCTCAGTACCCAGGTGGGTGGAGCAGGGGAGGAGCAGAGAGGTGTGGGAAAGGCTTCCATGCTGGAATGGCTCCAGCTCTGAATTTCAGCCATCCGGGTGTTGTCAGGCTCCCTGTTTTAATGGTGACCAAAGTGCAGCGCACGAGCACGGTAGAGTCCCTGGCCTATCGGCACAAGTGTGCTGGGAGCTGTGCACGGCCAAGTTCATACTGGGATTTGTACTATCTGTGCTGTGGACCAAAAGTTCCCAGGGAAAGAAGTTGCAGTTTTGCGCTGCTTGATATTTCCTAAGAAAATTTCTTACATTTTTCAAAGCTGATAACAGGTCTTATGTGGGCAAATATGGGTAGCTCTTGTTTATCTGGTTTGTTCACCTGATATAATGATGGCAATTAAGACAGATACTGTATTTGAGCAATTTAATTTCTGCTGTGTGGCTTTCTGCTAGGCATTGCTTCAGAGCTGGAGCTAAAGTAACACTCAGAATTCCACTCCAGCATTTTGACATTTATTTTCATGCAAGCAAGTGGTCCCCACCCCCATTTCCCTTC